TTTTTTTTTTGTTTTTTTTTTTTTTAAAAGAATAGAAAGGAAGAGAACATTTACTTGATTTACCAGAATTAAAGTTGTTATGGACTGTAAAGAGGATGTTTTTGCACATTTAAATTTGGCATGTACAAGAACAATAGTGTAGTTTAGATAAGAACTTAAAAGGGAAGTCTTTATTAAGGATTCCACATATCTTGTTGCGGAAGGCCCCCAGCCTGCATTCCTGACACATTCATCAACATTTGTTAATAAAGAGGATTTAGCAACCCTCATTCCTGAGGGAAAAAAGAACCAATTAAAAAAAGTTAGAAGAGTGATAGTGAAAATAATGTTTAAAATACCACAAAACTTCCCCAAAAGGCCTTATGTTTATAACATTAAGAAAAACAAGTCAGTGGAGTTTACAAGCCTGCTAGTAAGTTCACTTGGCTCTTGAAATAATAGTGCTTCTCCTTTTGTGCACCATCAGCTCAACCTTAAGACAAACAAGCCACAAAAAGCAGTTACTAAGAGATTACATCCACCTTCTGCATCAATTGTTTTTCACGGAATTGAGCAGGCTGCAATAGGATCACACATATTATTAGTCAACTTTAAGTCTACTTAAGTGCTTAAGAGGTAGAATGGGATTTGGCTCTGTCTCAATGTTTTGTTCTCTTGGGAGATTTTTTCATAGCTCAGACCCAGGAGGGAGAGGCTGGGCTAATCTTAAAGTCATGTCAAAGCCTTACTGCAGGGATTTCAAAGGTACAGCCCATGGGTTGGATCTGGTCCTGAGCCCCCTTATCCAGCCCCTGAATCTCATAATTGACCCACATAGTGCGCACCAGACTAACCTTGCAGGCAAGGGCCAGGCTGCGCCCTGCACCAGTTCCAGCTGGTTCAGGATGTATGCTGCACACATTGCATGCTCCAGCTGGTCTGGGGCACACACCACATGTGGCATCTGCCCCCACTGGTCCAGGAGTGAGCCACACAAGGCAAGGCACCCATTCTGGCCAGTCTGGGATCCATGCTGCCCACAGTACCTGCTCTGGCCTGTCCAGGACACATGCCATATGCACCATCTGCTCCAGTCTGTGTTGGGGGAACGCAGTCCCAGATGAGCCAGGTGCTGGATCTGGCTTGCAGGAGTGGGGAAGAGGAAGGGAACAGGTCCATGGATCCCTTGATGCTAGATCCAGCACCCACTCTGGACAATCCAGGATCTGCTCTGCATGTAGCACCTGCCCAAGGCTGGCTGGAGCATGCACCCCATGCTGGATCCAGGATGTTAGAGGGTAGTCTATGGGCCTGATCTGGTCCATGGGACTGGCCCCTTGCCATTCATCTGGCTCCATACCATTTACCGGGCCAGCAGGACTAAACGAGTTTGACACCCCTGTCTTGCAGTAATAATGCATTCTTATTCTCAAATAAGAATCCACATTTAGCACCATTTGTGAGTAAATTAGATTTTAAAATTCCTACCTTCCCTTAATTTGAGTTGGTTTTCAAGTGTAGATAATGCCTAGACTACATACTGATAGTTTCTAGGTCCACCCACATATATGACCATATCCTGGAATCAGTCCTTATATAATTAGGCAACTACCCAAATCAAGGTGGTAAATGGGCAAGTTTTGCAGACTGATTGTGATGCTGGTTGCCCTTTTCATGGGTTTAATCACAGCAGGCCCCACACTCCCTACCACTGAGTGGTCAAGAGAGCTGCCTTTCATGTAGCCCTGTCCCTTGCTGCTGATTGGTAGAGGGGTGCAGTGCTGCACAAAAAAAAAAAAAAAAGTGACAGCCCTC